TACAAAATCCTAACCTCCGTGAAGCTCTAATATTCAAAATGTATGATTTCTTAAAATTCTTGCATTAGTGCAGAACCACTTATGATATGTTATTACTAGACCCGGTGGCTTTCCAAAAACCCCATTCTAGACTAACAGTGAAACAACCAAAAATAACCCATATACATCATAATTATATTTAGGGGAAGGTGGGGGAATTCTGCGCATCTAAGCAAAATCTCTAGTATCTTTGTTAAGTTTAAATGTGAAATTTTGCAATTAATACCAGCGATAGTCTACTATGTTTACTATGTGTGTATAATGCGCAATTTATAAAAAAAAAATTGTTTGGTATGCAAAAACTACATTTTTTTAAATAATGCATTTGCGCAAAATTACCCACCTATCAGGGTAATTTTGCGCATCATGGGGGGAAAATTTGCGCTGTATAGAGAAAGATTTGTAGGTATCTAAATAAACCGTTTATTTCTATAATATTGTTAGATTAAAACATAAAAATAAAACAAAACTATTTTCTCTATGAAACAAACAAAACAAACAAGATCAAAAATAAATAACTAAAAATAAAATTTTTGTTCTTAGAAATAAGAGGGTCTACATGCAGCAGTTGTCACATATATAGTTTTAGGGGTTGTTTTTTACGCTACACTCCGCGTGTGCTCAAATGGAACTGTTTATGATGAACAATCTAGGCTCCTGTACCAAAAACTCCCATATTGGCCAAATTTTGCAGCGCAAAATTACCCCAATTTTTCAGCGTAAAATTACCCCCATTGCAAGAAAAATATTGTGATACTAAAAAACATTCCAAAAGTTAACCTGAACAATTTAAACATACACCAGATTACGAGGAAAGATCATATAAAGTTGTGTTATAAACATTTAAGCGATTGGACAGAAATTTAAACTTAACTCGTAGCGGAAACGACATGGATTTCTTAGATCAACGTACATGTATCACAGTTAGCTAGTGACCATGGTCACTAGCTAAAAGCTACAAGCTTAATTGCGGTACACTTTAGTCCCCATATACCCAAAGCAACGTTTTCAAGTTTGCAACATTCAAAAAATGTATTATTTACTTCATATCTGGAAGAATTGTTTATGCGTAAAATTACCCACCGCGCAAAATTCCCCCACCTTCCCCTAAACAGCGTTATGACACATGAAACCAACCCAAATGGGGACAAGTAGGACATTTTTTTTGGGCAATAAAAAATGCAGAAAAATACTAAATTAAAATATTAAAAATAATACAGGACTCTGTAACCACACTTTTTAAATCTCAACAAAGGTCCAACTCTCTATATTATTATATGAAACGTTGAACCTTGAATTATCACTAAATTAATGTAGGAACCACAAAAATGTACGGACGCTATTATCTCAGTTTGACAAAAGTAAGGGTTAGTTCCTTGTTGCATAACCCCATTCAAATAATATATAAAAAATGGTCTCACAGAAAGCCCCAAAAGGACCTCTCTGAACAACACTGTGTAAAATTTATTTCTAGGTGACAAACAGAAAATTTAAGTGTGCATTTTTTTATTTACAAGTAGGTATCTATTGTAAAATATTTAAAGATAATATTTAAAGATGTTTAGAAATATTATTGATAAAATTATTTTTATAAAATAAAAACTTACACAAAATAATAGAAAAATGCGTATAAAGACTTGCAGCTTTCAGACACAGACTGCTATCACTACTAAATCAAGTAAATCAAAATGAGTGATAAGGTGCTCCCTCCCTAATTTAGCGCCATCTACCTGGCGTTTTATATTAAATATCAATTATTAATTCAAAAACAATATTTTTAAGCTTAATTTTCCTTATTTTTTAAAATTTATTATAGGAATTCCTTAACAAACATTGTAACAATATTATTAAAAAGATATGATAACCAGTATCTAAACTGTAAACATAATTTACCTACCTACGGTTTTATCTTATATCGTATCTTTGTTTAATTTAGCATAGGGTTGCTTAAACTCCTCAGTACCAATTTTTTTCTTCCTTATAGGTTTTAAGAGTCGCACACAGTAAAAGTTAGTTCTTCTGTCTTAAAATACACACACACTTTTTAATATTTGGTAAGTCAAATATATTTATATTTATATGTATATCTTCTTAAATGAAATAGAACATTCACAAAATACTTATTTGGTTTTATTTCAATATTAACTACAGTTTTCAAATATTGCTGCTTTAACATAAATATAAAATTTGATGAATTTTTACCTTCTATTTGAAAACGCACACCTTTATTTACTTATATCACGTGGTGATGATAAGAGATAGTATACAGGTAACAATATTTAATATGTGTCGAAAGTACTCCAAATAAAAATTAATTTTAAAATTATTTTATATAAATTTATGTATCCTGTATGTAGATTTAAAATTTGATTTATTCATCATCTGTACCTATTTAAAAATATATCTCTGGATAATCAAACTATAAACATGGCACAATCTGATAAAAAAAATGATAAATTAGTTAGATAACTCATTAAAATTAAAACTACAGGTTAAAAAAACAGTTGCCATTTAGTTTTTGGTATGATATTTTGTTTACAACTTCTTATTAATCAAACAAGTTTCAATAATGGCTAAGGTTTTATTTAATTTTAAAAATGGCGAATGCGCTAGGATTAAAAAACTAAATTGGTCATGAAGATCACAATTGTGATGAAGATTATATTTTTGTAGGTAGGTAGGTAGGTAGGTAAAACCTTGGGTTAAAAAATATTAGAGAACCCAAATTATATTATTTATATTTAAGTTAGGTCATTTTTAAGAAATTAGTAAAAAATAATTTTTGCACAAACATAACCTAACCATAACTAATCAATCATTTTTATATTTGAGTTCTCTAAAGAACTTCGACAACTGCATTTTAATATACCTACAAATTCATGGCAACATAATATTATATATAATACATAATACAATGGTATTTTACCGTTGAGTGGAGACTTTAAAGAATTCTTAATCAACGCTTTTAATAATGCTAAATGTTGTTTAAATTTAGTCGACTTATTTTTTTTACGATTTTTACTGAATTGAAATGTTTACACTTTTCACGTTAATCAATACTAAAATGTGTATTTATTGTACCTAATAGGTACAATTTATATTTACAGAGACTGTATGCAATTTATTTCTTCATTCAGATTAACACTGTTTATTGGAAAACCGGTAAAAACTCAACCCAGGATTTCCTCTCGAAATACACCCAACAACATAACAAATCGATGCACGATATTTTTTAAAATTTTCCGGCTTTATTCTTAAAAGCACTCGTTTGTAACCCAAGCGTTTATGAAAAGTAACGTAACATTAACCAAAATATTATGCAACAATCGTAATATCTAACATTACAGTTACATAACCTGATGGTTGCAAATAGGTAACAATGTTGCGTTGCTGTTACTTTTTCGCAATCCAACTTATGTTACATAACATGGCCTTTACGGTTATGTAACATTGTTACGTTGTAACGTTATTATGCTCAACATGAGAAAGTCCCGTCAGTTAAACGCTAAAACGTATCAAATGATACATAATATCGTATTCTGACTTTCCCATAATCAGGCAGACTGTTTGAGGTCCAATGACAAATGGACATGGTGCGCTGTTTTAACTTCCTTTATATACCTAGCCGAGGTGGTAACACGAGCGAGATGTAAATGATGTGTATAAGTATAAGTTTGTTACGTAACGTAAATGTAACTGTTACGTAACAAACTTATTACAATAGTATCATTGGTAATTTTGTTACATTACAATAGTTTCACAATGTTACATTATTGTTATATTGCTTATTGGTAATTTTGTTACATTACAATAGTTTCACAATGTTACGTTGCTGTTATATTGCTTATTGGTAATTTTGTTAAATTACAATAGTTTCACAATGTTACGTTGATGTTATATTGCTTATTGGTAATTTTGTTACATAACAATAGTTTCAAATTGTTACGTTGCTGTTTTATTGCTTATTGGTAATTTTGTTACATTAAAATAGTTTCACAATTTTACGTTGCTGTTATATTGCTTATTGGTAATTTAGTTACTTTACAATAGTTTCACAATGTTACGTTATTGTTATATTGCTTATTGGTAATTTTGTTACATTACAATAGTTTCACAATGTTACGTTGCTGTTATATTGCTTATTGGTAATTTTGTTACATTACAATAGTTTCACAATTTTACGTTGCTGTTATATTGCTTATTGGTAATTTAGTTACTTTACAATAGTTTCACAATGTTACGTTGCTGTTATATTGCTTATTAATAATTTTGTTACATTACAATAGTTTCACAATGTTACGTTGCTGTTATATTGCTTATTGGTAATTTTGTTACATTACAATAGTTTCACAATGTTACGTTGCTGTTATATTGCTTATTGGTAATTTTGTTACATAACAATAGTTTCAAATTGTTACGTTATTGTAATATTGCTTATTGGTAATTTTGTTATATTACAATAGTTTCACAATGTTACATTGTTGTTACATTGCTTATGGGTAATTTTGTTACATTACAATAGTATCGCAATGTTACGTTATTGTTATATTGCCTATTGGTTAACTTGGAACGGTTACAATGTTACCATTATTTTAGGTAACTGTTGTGTTGCATTTTAGTAACATCGTTACATTGCAATGTGACTTCTATGTTACATAACGTCAATACTGTGTTACGTTAAATGTTGACCAGGTAGTACCTATCCAGTGGTATATAAATGTATACTAATTATTGTTTGTATCATTTACATTAAAACGACAGTTGGTTATTTTGAAAATTATCTCTACAAACAATTTAGTGTGCCTCTTTAAAGTTTTAAACAATTTTTTTTAATATATATATACATTACAATTATAAAAAAAATCATTTGTGGAATGAAACAATAACAATTTAATAATATAATTTTATTTCATTATGAAAAATTTGCATAACAATTACGATTAATTCTAGGGAAAATGTATTTAAGTATAAAAACATTTTCCAAATAAAATTTTACATTGTAAAATATAAAATATACAATTCAAATATTTATTCTATATAATTACAATATATATCAGTAAAATTAACAAAACAAACAAGCTTTAACTTATTTACAATTACAAATAAGATCTTTAAATGATCCAGACATAAATCAGTCAAAAAACGGGATGTATAAACTATAATAAAACTAAAGAAAAAAACTATAGATTACTTACTTAAAACTATAAAATAAATGTTTACGTTGTTTTTTGTTTAGAAACGATGAAACAACAAAGAAAAAAGCATTATGATTAGAATTTACACTCATTATTCAGACAAGCAAAATCTGAACTCTGTGCTGAAACATTTCGAAACTAACTATTAGCTAAATATGTACATTGTCGATATATTATAAATATAAATAAAAACAATATAAGGTTGTCTTTGGTAAATTATTGAGATTTTTTTCAGTAATTTTAGAGTAGAGTATTGTTGGAATGCAATTTTGAGAAATGTGTATGTTTAACTCTCAGATCTTTGAAATGTTTAATATCACAGCAATATTAAATTTTATTTTTCCTAAACAACCCTAAGCAAATTATTGCATACACTTACAAATTTCAGGCAAGACGTTTCAATCATTTGTACATTAAATTCAATTTTTGAATATATTATATTTTTATTCTTTAGTCATAGTGAGACGGTTCATGGAAAGGACGATTGGTTTGTTTTCCAAATTGTGATCACTGCCAATTATGACTTTTGTGTTGTTGTTGTTATTGTTGTTAACTATGTGAGGTTGACTTTCGCTGTCGGAATCTGGTGATGGGGGGCTTGGACTAGGCTGCATGTCGTAGTAAGCATTGGAAGAGATTGGTGATTGGTGATTGGTGTATGGAGATAACCTCTGATGAGACTGACTGTTGTTGAGAAAACTGTAGTTTTGAGTGGAACTGTGTTGCAAATGTAGAGATGGTAGAGCTCTGTATTCATCTATAAAAAAAATCTAAGGTTAGAATCATAATTTTCAATATAATTTTTTCTAAACGTAGAAAAAGTTTAGTCTGAAACACATTTGGAATTGCATATTACTCTCTGGTGAAACTGTCAAACTTGCTTTCATTTGATATCACTATTACCTAGAAATCGATCCACACAAATTTTTGATGAATTTCAATCGCAAATAACTTTTTTATTGGGTGTCGGATTTAAACGAATATTAAAGAATATTGTAGATAAATTAATGGACAATCGCTCACATTTTAAAAAAATACTAAAAAATAGACGTACGTTTATAATATACAGGTTTAAACAAAAAGATGTTTTTTACCATAAGTTTAAGACACTCTGTAGAGTGGCAAAACCGTATATTGTTCTAAATTAAGTTTTATTTATCAAGTCACATCTATTATTAACAGTTTTGTTTTTGGTTCACCTCGATATATTTATTTTTGTGGAAAATATGGATTTAAAAAAAAAACATTGCAATTTCCAATATTTCTCCTGTATGAAGAACTAAGGTTGCTATGGTCCATCCATAGCATATGGAGAATGACAGTGACAGTTTTGTTGAATCATCCCATACTTGGACATGTCATATACAGCTTTCAAAAGCTATCAAATTGTTTTTTGTAAATTAATGTGTTAATTTTGAGGTGTCTTCTTACTTTTAAAAATGTCTCCGACTGATGTTGCCCTTTGTTCTTTACTTCTTATGACGTTTAAAACACTTGCCACGTAATACTGTGACCGTCCATCCTGGATTAAATTAATGGCTCTGGCAACATCAGTCGCAGACATATCCATTTTTTAAAGTAAGAAGACACCCCAAAATTTAAACATTAATTTGCAAAAAACAATTTGATAGCTTTTGAAAGCCGTGTATGACATGTCCAAGTATGGGATGATTCAACAAGACTGTCACCGTCATTCTCCATAGCCTTAGTTCTTCATACAGAAAAATATTAAAAATTGCAATGTTTTTAAAAAAAAATCCATATTTTCCAAAAAAATAAATTTATCGGGGTGAACCAAAAACAAAACTGTTAATAATAGATGTGACTTGATAAATAAAACTTAATTTAGAACAATATACGGTTTGCCACTCTAAAGAGTGTCTTAAACTTATTGTAAAAAACATATTTTTGTTTAAACCTGTATATTATAAACGTACGTCTATTTTTTAGTATTTTTTTAAAATGTGAGCGATTGTCCATTAATTTATCTACAATATTCTTCAATATTCGTTTAAATCCGACATTAAATAAAAAAGTTATTTGCGATTGAAATTCATCGAAAATTTGTGTGGATCGATTATTTTGCCTGTGAGTGTATTTGATAAACAATGTGAACTTCAAATTTTCAGAAATTTTCATTAGTAGGTAATTTGTAAATAATAACAGGACAAAGACTAAATGTTCAAAAGAACAAGGTCTTAATTGTGTTTCCAATAATACCGCAATGGTGCGCCATACAAATAAAAAAAATGTAAGGAGTCAAACAAATTTCCGCTAATCAGTTTTTTTATTTGACCTTGAATTTCCAGTAAAGTTGGCTAGTTATTTTATTTGAAACTGTTTTTTCAATAGTTAAAAAGATTTTTTATAGATTTTATGTAAAATAGAGTTTTGTTAGCAAAACATTTCTTTGTAAAGGTTATATTATTGTATTAAATTGTGCAATAACTTGAATGAATATGAACTTGTCTGATAAAATGGCGAATGCGCCGGGATTAAATATAATTGTTATTTATGGTAATAGTGTGTTATGTTGAAAATAAGTCACTCGAGAAAAATTTATATAAATTCTCAAGTGAAACATAACACACGAGTGGCATACAACGTTTTATCCAACAAGTGGAAGAAACCATTTTTTTATGAGATAATAATTAATAACCTTTGTGATCAAATCAAAGCTACTTGCGTCTCAGTACTCTATAAATGTCAGAATGACTTTTCGGTCAAAATAAGTTGTTTGTTTGGTTGCCAAATAAATTTTGACACTTGTCAGTTTTCCCTGCAAACAAGGGAAGCTTTATGAAGAAAAAAACGTATAGAAAAAGGAGGAAACCGATGAAAATTACGTTCCTGAGGATATCCTTACGGAACCAGAAGAAGCAGCGATGTAGATTTTGCCAGAAAAGTCCCGAGATGCTTACGACAAGGAGTTCAAAATTTTGAGTCTTGGATGAATTCACGGAAGATAAAAAGTATCGATGAAAATGTTCTATTGGCTTATTTTTTATATTTGCAAAAAAAATTAGCCTTATCGTCGCTATGGACCAAATACTCGATGCTTCGCTCGACTATTCATCTTTATAAAAAATCGACATTTTAAAATATGGCAAACTAACGAGCTTTTTGAAAAGCAAATCACAGGGATACAAACCAAAGAAGTCCAAGACATTAGAACGACCTGAAATAGAGAAGTTTTTGAACGAAGCTCCCGACGACGAGTACCTGTTGATGAAAGTGGCTTTGATAATGGGGATTAGCGGTGCTTGTAGATGCGATGAATTGGTCAATTTGAAAATAGAAAATATTCAAGATAAAGGGAAATAGTTGCACGTGGTTTTGCCAGACACTAAAACCAACAAATTGAGAAGTTTCACCATACTTGAGGAAGGATTTCCAGTCAACCCGATCAATTAGTGTAAAAAATACGTGTCTTTGAGACCAAAGAATACTAGTTCTAGCCGCTTTTTTGTTTTTTACAAAAATGGGAGGTGTACCAGCCAGTGTGAGGAAATAAATACGTTGTCCAAGAAACCTTCAAGAATTGCAAAGTTTTTGAAATTGGAGGAACCAGCGCTCTACACAGGTCACTGCCTGAGAAGGTCTTCGGCGACTCTTTTGGCCAATGCAGGGGCTAACATGACTACTTTGAAGCGTCACGGAGGATGGAAGTCCTCGACGGTAGCTAGAAGAGTCGGTGCATAAAAAAATACAAATTGCAGAAAAAATACAAGGTTCTAATGCGTCGGCGTCTTCCAGCACTATCAGCAGCTGTACCGATATGGGAGCGTCTGGTTCCAATGAACCAACGAATTTTACGATGACTTCAAATTCGAAAAAACCGTTAGCGTTTTCCTTTAATTTCAATATCAATGTGAATTCTATTGTTTTTTTCTACTAGCGTGAGCAAAAATATGAGAATTTTGATAATCATTGTTATCTAATTTTGCGCACGCCAGTAGAAAAAATATTGTTCCTAACACATGCGCAAAGTAATTTTTCCGCACTTACTGCTTGCCCAGTAGCGTGCGGAAAAATATAACTGCGCACTTGTTAGGAAAATAATTATTGTGTGGCGGTTCATTACCCAGTGTGTATTTAATGTCTATTTTAGAAAGTTTACTGATGTATTTATTTTGTACAAATTTTCTTACCTAATTGTGGTTCTACTTTAACCCCTTGATGTGATGATGAGGATAAATATCCAGTGGCTTCTAGATTCATACCAATTGGAGCTTTCTTGATCTGTGCATTAGCATTAGAACTGTTATCTTTGCTACCCTTTGGCTTCCTTTTCCTAGTCTGTAAAATATAAAATCATAAAACATAAAATATTCATAGTAACAAAAATAATATACCCATGTTAAAGGTTAAATTATTTTTTTTTTCTAAAAGCTACATCTTAATTTATCAAATACATTCACGTCCAAAATAATCGATCCACACAAATTTTCGATGAATTTCAATCGCAAATAAACAATTTGATAGCATTTGAAAGCTGTATATGACATGTCCAAGTATGGGATGATTCAAAAAAACTGTCACTGTCATTCTCCATAGGCTATGGATGGACCATAGCAACCATACAGGAAAAATATTGGAAATTGCAAAAAAATCCATATTTCCCACAAAAATAAATATATCGAGGTAAACCAAAAACAAAACTGTTAAGAATAGATGTGACTTGATAAATAAAACTTAATTTAGAACAATATACGGTTTTGCCACTCTACAGAGTGTCTTAAACTTATGGTAAAAAACATCTTTTTGTTTAAACCTGTATATTATAAACGTACGTCAATTTTTTAGTATTTTTTTAAAATGTGCGCGATTGTCAATATTCTTTATTATTCGTTTAAATCCGACATCAAATAAAAAAGTTATTTGCGATTGAAATTCATCGAAAATTTGTGTGGATCGATTATTTTGCACGTAAGTGTATATTAATTTGGTCATAATATACCATAAAAATTAATATTCGCGGACACTTCCAGATTTTAGAGGTTACTCAAAAACACACCAACTTTTGTCTGCAATTGCAGACGTCTGCTATGTATATCCCAAAATTTTATATTAAGGGACATGCGTCTGTAATTGCAGACGTTAATAAACTAAATGCCGGTTTCGATAATAAGAAGAAAATCGTAAAAAACATAAACTTTATTCAAATGAATAATAAAAAATACAACAAAATAAACTTTTAATCCAAGTCTTTGTCATCTGAACCAGAAAATGGATCTTCTATACTAGTACTGCTTGATCTATCACCCTCAGACTCTGATTCAGTTTCCACTTCTTCATAAAATGTTAGTAATCTAGCTTCTTCTTTAGGATCCATTTTATTTGCAACCTAAAAAAGTATTTTTATTATATAAGGTACCTAGTAAATACAAATATAAATATAACTGTAAGAAATCAATCCAATTTCTGTCCCTCTATACATATTTGGGTAGTTTTAAGAAATGACGTATTACGTATGACGTAATTTACGTATCCCTATAGGGCAATACGAAACATCATCTCTTTTGCCAATGATCTTAAAAATTTTATAACCAAATATAAAACCGTATTTAGCTTTAGGCAGGAATATTTTCTTAGAATAAAAATAAATAAAAATATTTGAACAAACCCTTATTAAAAATATAGTACTTACCGAGAGTTAAAATCGAAAAAAACAACTTATAATAACATTTAAAAACAACAACAAAATAAAATCGAAATTTACAGGGACACTTCATAACCTCTTCCATTGGCCGTTAAGAAGTTACTGTCTGCTTTTGCAGACATGACGCTTTTCGTGAGAAAACAATCTGCGCGGGAACTATATATTTAACCTTAAAATGTATCACTTAGAGGGACACTTTTCTGCTAAAAAACTTGATGTACAGGGACAATATGCTTCCATTAATACGTATTTAATAGTAAATAGCGACTGCTAATGCAGACATGCGTTTTTCTGTGGTTTAAAATTTGTCTATCAATTGCAGTCGTGTCCCTACACATGTGTCTGCAATAGCAGTCGTGTCCGCGAATGTGTTAAAGAAAATTTTACCTGTATTTGGTCTTTCTTCATAGACATTGGTCGGTTCACATTATGCAGTTTGAAATATAAACCGCATGCATTGCACACTGGTTCTCCCAAACCGTTTCTTCTCCACAAGGAAGTGTTACTTGTGTGACAGTTGGTGCAGGTTAATCCCACCCTTCTTGAAGCTGACTAAAAATCAAAAAAACAATTTAAATATTGAAAAAACTGATATACTCTCTAAAAATTAAATAGTCAAAATTCTACTATTTGAATTAGTACCAGCATTTTTTACGTAAATAGTTAAAGTTTGACTAATTTATAATTAGTCACCATCTTTGACTATTTCTGAGAGTTAAAAGTAACTAATTTCTTTAACCGTTTGCTGCCAACAACAAAGAATTATTTGAATTAAATTCATATACCTAAGCTCCATAGTTAAATGACCCAAAAAACAAATAAAGATGCAAAAAGTTCAGCTCAAAACCAGCAACACAAATAATATATTCAACTTTAAAATATTTATTGACAAATAAAATTGATTTTTATAAGAACGACTGATAGCCGAATGGGTTATGACAACAGCTTGTGACAAACCTGAGTTCAATCCCCGGCTGGGTCAAACTAATTTTACAATTTCATTTTAAGAGAGTAAGGATCATAAAAAAATAAAAACTGTTAAAATTAATTATTTTAAAAACATAATTAATATACCTAACAATACAACCAAGATCGAGATAAACATTATAAAAATCATTAAAACTTGTACTGCAAAAAAAACAATGTACCCTCTAAAAATGAATTAGTCAAAAATGACTATTTTAATAGTTCACTTGTACCATTGGAATACCATGGTATCCCAAAATTTAACAGCCAATTCTTATATAAAATTGTCCCCTGAATCCGAAAATATCGTCAAAAATTATGAAAGTGGAGCAGTTTTTGAGATATAGTCAATTCCATATTAAATGGAAAATTTACCATATCTCAAAAACTGTTTTGGGATACCATGGTAACTATTGTACAAGTGAAAAAGAAGCCATTAATGACTATTAAATTAGTCATTTTTCATTAATTCATTTTTAGAGAGTAAGCTTTCCTTAGGATAGTATATTTAAAAAGGTTTGTTTGTTTACTGATACATTTAGTTTAGTTATCAATGTATGTTGCATAAAACTGTCCACAAAATTTTTAGAAAGCAATGTTCAAGTTGAACAACTTAACCGGGTTGTAGTGTTAATTTATATTACACTCACAGGCAAAATAATCGATCCACACAAATTTTCGATGAATTTCAATCGCAAATAACTTTTTTATTTGATGTCGGATTTAAACAAGTATTAAAGAATATTGTAAATAAATTAATGGACAATCGCTCACATTTAAAAAAATTATTAAAAAAATAGACGTACGTTTATAATATACAGGTTTAAACAAAAATATGTTTTTTACCATAAGTTTAAGACACTCTTTAGAGTGGCAAAACCGTATATTGTTCTAAATTAAGTTTTATTTATCAAGTCACATCTATTCTTAACAGTTTTGTTTTTAATTCACCTAGATATATTTATTTTTGTGAAAAATATGGATTTAAAAAAAACTGCAATTTCCAATATTTTTCTGTATGAAGAACTAAGGTTGCTATGGTCCATCCATAGGCTATGGAGAATGACAGTGACAGTTTTGTTGAATCATCCCATACTTTGACATGTCATACACGGCTTTAAAAAGCTATCAAATTGTTTTTTGCAAATTAATGTTTAAATTTTGAGGTGTCTTCTTACTTTAAAAAATGGATATGTCTCCAACTGATGTTGCCAGAGCCATTAATTTAATCCAGGATGGACGATCACAGTATTACGTGGCAAGTGTTTTAAACGTCACAAGAAGTAAAGTACAAAGGGCAACATCAGTTTTAAAAGTATAAGGACACCTCAAAATTAACACATTAATTTACAAAAAAACAATTTGATAGCTTTTGAAAGCTGTATATGACATGTATGAGATGATGCACTGTCATTCTCCATACACGGAAAAAAAATGCGTTAGTTATTTTTATTATATGTGTTTAGTTAAAAAAATATTGTTATATTTATCGAAATTTATAATCAATTTTACAAAACCAAAAGGTTAATTTAATATTAATGTATAAGATTAAAAATACCTTAATGTTTTAATTGAAACATATAAATAGGTTAGTTCTTTTAATCAATTTTACAGTTATTGTAATTACAGAAAATAACAAAAATATTAAATTAAAAACAGCTGTAGTATTTAGTTATAATAACTAAATAGGTTTATAAAAACAACTACCTAGAGTTTGGTTAAATTCTAAAGGTTATTTTTTAGACATCTGCCAGAGGAAAGTTAACGAGTTTTACGTTGTTTGTTTAAAGACATTGCATGTTTGCATAAGTGCGGTCGTGATTTTTGTGATTTTTAGAATAAGTAAGTAAAACAATTGTTAATTAATATATTTATAAAATTTAATGAAACTACTAATGTGATTCATAAATTTCAAGATCATAAAGGGTGTTCATCAGCCTATTGTCAGCACAATCCAAACAAGGTCTGTTTGATCTGTTCGATTTTTTATAAGCCTGTTTACAATTATCGTGCTGTAAGTTTGTGCTTTTTATACAAATTTATAAACGTTATTAGTTAGTTTTTATTGGTTTTATCGAGAAAAACCGTAATAATTTTGATAGAAGTAAAATTTTTACTGTTTGCGGCTATCTGTTAAATAACATTAATCACAGATCGAGCACATTGTTGTATGAATTGTGTACAACAATGCGCTCGATCTGTCAGTTATAAAAGTCAGTGTTATTTTGTCACAGATTAACATGTCTTTTGAGTTGATGAAAGTAAAGTTAACTAGTTGGGGACTGGTACATCTAGTTGAAAAGTTTCCAGGTCTAGAATATTTCATTAGGAAAGTAAATATTGGGTTTTAAAAGTAATAATTGTTTTTAGAAGAAGCAGTAGATGATGAGGCTTTTATTAGACTTACTCCTGCCCTTATTGACAAATTAGGATTGAAAGTACATAGGTAGGTGATTTAGCCAAGTTTAATAAAAATTTTAATGAATTTAAGAATAATACTTTGCTGCCTATTGACGATATTGAATCTTATTCAAGTAGTTCAGTGGAAAAAGATACCATAGAAAAAGATATTGTAGAAAATACAGTTTTGGGTATTTTATTAATGCAGTTTATAATTTGCTAAAATAACTTTTTATATTGTTTTTAGAGGTCATCCCTACACCCTATAACTAATGAAATGTAAGCTTTTCATTAGAGTTATAGGGTGTAGGGATGACCTCTAAAAAAATTATACACGTGATTAAATTTGATGATATTATACGAAATTTTACTTTTAATATGATTAAAATAAACGATTTATTTTTATTAATAAAGCGCCAAATATTTAATTTAGCCCAGTTCGTATTTTTCTACTTTTACAACGATTTGTTGCCGCACTACTTGTTTATTTAGATGTTAGAAAAGATCCTGAGGCTATATCTATAGTTTAATTTTTTAGTTTAGGGATTTTCAGTTTTTAGGTTTTAAAATACTGCTTTTTTTTATCGAAAAATTTATTTCATTAAACTAAAAAATTAAATATCCTCAGAATTTCCTTTTTATAAACAAATAGTTTTACCAATTTGCATGTATCTTAAGTTTATGATCTCTTAATATTAAAAAAAAAAATAATTATTTGATTTGTTTAGACATCCTTAGCATAAATAAAAATTATTTTATGAGATAAATGTTTCATTTACGATTAAATATATGCATGCATACTCTTTACAAAACTTTAAAAAGAGCAACAAAACTGTTTACTAAGAATAAACAGGTAAGTATAATTAAAACAACTATAATTTTAGATTAAATTTTAATTAAGTAAAATGATTAATTTAAATATTTAACATTTATTGTTACTATCATGTTTTCTTAGTTTTTTTTATTAAAAAATAATAATTAAAAGCACTACATTTTTTTACTGAAATAACAAATTATGTGAAATTAAAATAAACAATGATCGTTGAGTTAAAATAACCAAATTTTTCTGGTTAAAAAATAACTAAACTGATTGGTTGAATCAAGAATATAATTTTAACTGAACCCAGTTTAGTAAAAATGATTAAATAGTTCTGTTGGCGCATATATGATTAATTTTTTTAATTAAAATAACTAAACTTTTTTTTCCGTGTAGGCTATGGATGGACCATAGCAACCTTAGTTCTTCTTACACGAAAAATATTGGAAATTGTTTTTTTTTTAAAATCCATATTTTCCACAAAAATAAATATATCAAGGTGAACCAAAAACAAAACTGTTAAAAATAGATATGACTTGATAATTAAAACTTAATTTAGAACAATATACGGTTTTGCCACTCTACAGAGTGTCTTAAATCCGAAAACAAATAAAAAAGTTATTTGCGATTGAAATTCATCGAAAATTTGTGTGGATCGATTATTTTGCCTGTGAGTGTATTATGGTTTATGTTAAAATAAGTCTCATAAGGGTTTAAATTTTTAAATACTTCAGAGATTATCATTAAAGGTTTTACTCTTAATAATGCATATTTTAATACATAAGTAAAAAAAAGTTGGTAATTTCAAGTTTTTAACAGACTACTAAATTAACATACTCAAAACTTTTACTTCTAGTAGGATAAAAATCTAACTAAGGTTATAATCTACTTTGTTAGTATCAGAAAAAATTGGGCATAAGGGATTTTTAACATTGAAAAAAATTTAACGTTACAATTACAATAATATATAAAAACCTACCAATCGTCGACCAGTGGATTTTTCTTCGATAGTATGTAATGTGGGAGTACGCGGTGTCCCGTTATACCCAAAGTAGTTCTTGTAGTACTCAGAAACACCCCCATGTCCTGGCTCAGCCGCCACTGCAACGCAAAAAGGGGTGGTATTAGTGAAAAACGTTCAAAACGTTTTGGAATCAAAAAATTACACTACATTAAACTAATTAATTGGTAGCAGCTTTGCCTCGCACATCGGGGGTTTCATTTTTTTAGTTTTATTTGACCGAAGATTTTCGTTTGGTACAACTAAATTTCGAATGATTTTATGCGAACGAAATTTAGTTGTAGCAAATCTTTTACTGATATTCTTAATCCTGAAATAGGAGCATAATAATAGTGATGGTTCCAATGTTAGTATGAATTTGATGATTGAATTATTGAATGATCATGCAGAAACACAAAACCTTTCCAAAATTATTTTGGAATTGTTTTGCATTGCCCCACCGGACTGTTTCGGTCAAATAAAACCATAACAATGAAGTTCGGTTAATGATAATTAAAAACAAAAATAACAAAAAAGTACCAATCTACGAGGCTGCTTGACCAAAGGGCGGTTCATGCCGTTCATCTTGTGGTAGAGGCCACACGCGTTGCACAGATAGTGCCCGGTGCCGTCTCTTCTCCATAACGGGGTATCTATTGCCCCACAATTTACACATTCCCTACCTTCCGTGAAATACTCCGTTGTTCTTGGGTCAACTGTTAAAAAATTGACAAATTAGGATCAGATCTAGCATAGAGTAAACTAGACACTTTATAGTTATTGGACAATTAACATTAATACTAAAAACAAGAGTTCTATAAATACTATTTACTAAATGGTTACCTTAAAGTCAAAACATATAGAACTAAAGTCTATTCAAATCCAAGCTGGACCAAATGTAAACACAATCCTCCGAATCGACCAATAAGAACTCACAATCCGAGTCACAGAATCGACCAATAAGAACGAGTTATCATGCGTCTGGGCGTTTTTGTTTAGTCCAGCTTGGATTTGAATAAACTTTACTTTATTTTGGGTCCAACGTTACTTTGGTGGTAAGATTTTTTGTTAAGAGCAGGGCTGTGTTTAAATTACAATAAAAAATATTTCTGAAAAGTACAGATCAGTGTGTGGTATAAATTCCTCATTGTTTAAACATTGTCACTTTAATGCGTTTGAATTTTAATTCTGAAAACAAACTTATTCTTATGTAAAATTGTCCCCTAAATCCGAAAAGACCATCAAAAACTATAAAACTTGAGCAGTTTTTGAGTCAATTCCATATTATATGTAAAATTGATTATATTTCAAAAACTCTGCTACTTTTATAACTTTTGACGACATTTTCAGCAAATAATATTTCATAGGAATTGACTGCCAAATATCCTGGATACAAGTTGCTGTTGATGAGAATTATTATTGGCTGCTTTTTCGCTATGACATTTTTAGAGAGTAAGTAATATAGTGATTTCTTCGTCACAGGACATCTTGCAGAATAACAGTGATTTAAATACAGTGCATGATAAAGAACAGAAAAAACTAATGGCAACAAAATTAATAAATTCGGAAAATACTTTTAACATACCACCCGAAAAAATATAAGATATATATATAAATCATCCTGTTCCGACCTAAACATTATAAATGCTTCACAAACTAGAGATACCACCCTTAATGATATTTGCAACAAACTATTCATACAAAGGAATTAGTAGTTACCTTCAGAATCCAGAAAAGGGATGAGGAATACGAGAAAGAAATATATGAATTATATGATATTTACAAAAACGAAATAAAAAAAATTACCTAAAACAGCAACTTATCTTTAAAAAATATTTAACAATTTATATTATTTGATGTAAAGTTGTTGTTTATATAAAAATTGTATGTCCAATAACTATGAACCATGTGTCCAATTCCTATACTTTTTTGCATGTTTTTTAGAACTATTATTAAAAATTCAAATATTCTTATTTTTAAGTAAACGTAAATAAAGTTTAAACAAATAAACTATAATTTTTAAATATTTATAAGAAAAAAACTAAAATATTTAAAACAATGGCATATATAAATTTTAAATAAATAAACGAAATAAAAAAATTACCTAAAACAGCAACTTATCTTTAAAAAATATTTAACAATTTATATTATTTGATGTACCTAAAGTTGTTGTTTATATAAAAATTGTATGTCCAATAACTATGAACCATGTGTCCAATTACTATACTTTTTTGCATGTTTTTATAGAACTATTATTAAAAATTCAAATATTCTTATTTTTAAGTAAACGTAAATAAAGTTTAAACAAATAAACTATTATTTTTAAATATTTATAAGAAAAAAACTAAAATCTTTAAAACAATGGCATATATAAATTTTAAATAAATAAACGAAATAAAAAAATTACCTAAAACAGCAACTTATCTTTAAAAAATATTTAACAATTTATATTATTTGATGTTAAGTTGTTGTTTATATAAAAATTGTGTGTCCAATAACTATGAACCATGTGTCCAATTACTATACTTTTTTGCATGTTTTTATAGAACCATTATTAAAAATTCAAATATTCTTATTTTTAAGTAAACGTAAATAAAGTTTAAACAAATAAACTATCCTTTTTAAATATTTATAAGAAAAAAACTAAAATCTTTAAAACAATGGCATATATAAATTTTAAATAAATAAACGAAATAAAAAAAATTACCTAAAACAGCAACTTATCTTTAAAAAATATTTAACAATTTATATTATTTGATGTTTATATAAAAATTGTGTGTCCAATAACTATGAACCATGTGTCCAATTACTATACTTATAACTAAAATCTTTAAAACAATGGCATATATAAATTTTAAATAAATAAACGAAATAAAAAAAATTACCTAAAACAGCAACTTATCTTTAAAAAATATTTAACAATTTATATTATTTGTTGTTTATATAAAAATTGTGTGTCCAATAACTATGAACCATGTGTCCAATTACTATACTTTTTTGCATGTTTTTATAGAAAAATTCAAATATTCTTATTTTTAAGTAAACGTAAATAAAGTTTAAACAAACAAACTATCATTTTTAAATATTTATAAGAAAAAAACTAAAATCTTTAAAACAACGGCATATATAAATTTTAAATAAATAATATTCCTTAAGTGTCCAATAACTATGTGGTTTACCCTACTTGATTTTGAAATTTATTACATTTACAATTATTGTACACATTTTTTGATAATAGATCTATATGCATACATATATGCTTTTAGTTAAATTTATGGAATGAAATATTTTTAATTAGGTAAATATAGTATAGATCTTGCGCATTTGCTGGACAAATGACCAATATTATGATTAAATATTATTAATATTATTATAAAAATTTACTTAGATTTTTAGAATTTTGGAATGCAGACTACAATAATTGTAGTCTGCATTATTGTTGGATTTTAAATTTTTCTAAATTAATCCTAAAACTTTCTAACCAGATAAAAAATTTAAACCTGAGCAAAACTGAAGAATTATTAGATTTTATATAAATAAGATTATGAGACACACAGCGTTGCCAAGTTTACTTAAGGTATTAAAAAGTTTCATACATGTATTAAAAAATGTCGTAAACCTGAAAATAATATTGTATACAAATTATGGTTCGAATTCAGTGTTTTAACGTTTAATAAAAATGCCAAGAGGATGACTAATAAACATCAATATTTTAAGTCGTTTGACGTTTCCTATTGGCATTTATTGAGTACACAGTCAAAGGTATTGTATCGCGACGGAAAACAGGTAAAAAGTATCGAGACGGATCCGTGTACCTAAATACCGGAAACGGCAGAGTAAATGAACTAACTACGGATCTACCACTTTACGTTTGTATGTAAAAGAAACGAACGTTATCGGTAAGCTTGGCGCGTGTTCAGATAACACCAGAAACCATTTGTTTCCTAATTGAAAATGCAGCATAATGTACTTCACTAAAAGTATTTAACTTATTTCTTATGTTACAAACAAATTTGGAGTCATTTTGTGTGAAACGATGCTTAACAGGGCGAGTCATTTAACTTTAGACTTTGAAATTTCTCAGTTTGTATGCATTTTACGAAAAAATGTTTATAATAAAAATTAAATGATTCGAGAGTATGCTAATATGGTTTTTGTTTATGGCTTTTGTAATGGCAATGCCACAGCTACCGTAGAAGAATATCGGCGACGTTTTCCACGTGAAAGGGCTCCTGACAAAAACGTATTTATTCGAGTTTTTAACAAACTTTGCGAGACTGGAACTCTTCCAAGTGCTAAAATAACATCTGAAAAAGCTTTGTCGATCAGCTTTAGAAGAAGTGGAAAATATTTTGGATCTAGTGGAAGAAGATGTAACGACCAGCACCAGAAGAATCGCTACTCAATTGGACATTTCACAAAAACACTTCACGAGCAAGGCTTATACCCATACCATTTACAAAGAGTACAGTTTCTACACTCTAAGAAAATATATTGTAATCCCTAACAATATAGATTTGTTATGCAAAATATGGTTCATTTAATTATAACTTATGGTTGTAATAACAATATAAGTAAAATTAGTTTTGTTATATGTACTTTAATCATTTTGTTATAAAAATTTAGTAAAGTTAGATATTTGATTAGGCTATTACAACCATCATGTACGGCTAAACTGTTAGTACTACACTAGATGGTTAAATTTATAAGATTATCTGGTTACAATAACAATATAATGTTGTCACACAATATTAACAATATGTCGTTGTAGTTTTTACTATACAGAAAGTTTATACATATCATACGTATAGTATATTTAACCATATAGAGGGTTATAAGGTATTTGCATATGATTATTATAACTAAATAAATTATTGTTTTGTGCAACAACAAAAATATAGTTAAAGTGACAATAAAACTGTTACAATATAAACATGGTTAACATAACAGTAAATATGGCTGTGCCTATACTAATCAGAATGTTTAGTAAAAGTTACTATATATTTGATTAAGATAACCATTGTTTTTTCTCAGTGTACACCCGGAAGAATATGCTAAACGTGTGGAATTTTGTCGGTGGGTAACTAACAATCGTAGAGTT